AAATGAAGAAAGGTATGCGCCGGGATTATATCCTTTCACCATACTTGTTCAATGTATGTTGAGCAAATAATCCGAGAAGCTGGACTATATGAAGAAGAACGCAGCATCAGGATTGGAGGAAGACTCATTAACAACATGTGATATGCAGATGACACACTCTGGCTTGCTGAAAGCAAAGAGGACTTGAAGTACTTACTGATGAAGACCAAAGACTACAGCCTTCTGTATGGATTACACCTCAACATAAAGAAAACAAAAATCCTCACAAATGGACCAATAAGCAACATCATGATAAATGGAGAAAAGTTTGAAGTTGTCAAGAGTTTTATTTTACTTGGATCCACAATCAACACCCATGGAAGCAGCAGTCAAGAAATCAAAGGACACATTGCATTGGGCAAATATGCTGCAAAAGACCTCTTTAAAGTGTTAAAAAGCAAAGATGTCACCTTAAGGACTAAGGTAGGCCTGACCCAAGCCAGGGTATTTTCAGTTGCCTCATATTCATGCGAAAGCTGGACAATAAAAAAGGAAGACCAAAGAAGAATTGATGCCTTTGAATTATTGTGTAGGTGAAGATTACTGAATATACCATGGACTGCCAGAAGAACAAACAAATGTGTCTTAGAAGAAGTTCAGCTAGAGTTCTCCTTCAAAGTGATCATGTCAAGACTGCGTCTCACATACTTTGGACATATTATCTTTAGGAGCTAGTCCCTGGAGAACGACATCATGCTTGGTAAGGTAGGGGGTCAGTGAAAAAGAGGAAGACCCTCAGTGAGATGGATTGACACAGTGGCTGCAACAATGGTCTCAAACATAGCAACGATTTTGAGGATAGCGCAGGACCAGGTAGTTTTTCGTTCTGTTGTACATAGGGTTGATAGGAGTCAGAACCAACTCGAGAGCATCTAACAGCAATAGTTTCTTTTAAAAATGAATTTTATAATTTTTTGTTTGGAGTTCCATCTCAAGTTAGATGACATCTCTCACTATAGTGACTTATGATTATTTTTATAGTGACTTTTCACTAAGTGTAAACAGTTTTTAAGAGCTTTCCATGATTACAGTTGATATCTCTGTAGATTATACACATTCCTTTGCAATGTGCATGAATATAGATATAAATGAGGAAAGTAATATGTCTTGAAAGGAGCTGATTGAAGACTGAGCCCAGCTAATGGCTGTTAAATGCCACCAGAGCATTTTAAGCAGTGTCATTACATGGAAAGGTACTTTTCATATTTTCAGTTTGCTGGAAGGGTAGTATGCTTAGGGTGTTCTGTAAGGAAAGATTGCAGTATACCAGGCATAAGTGAGCCAAGATTTTAAAGTGGAAAAGTACATTCCTGGGTGATATATAGAAGAATAATAGTACAGTTTCAGCTTGGTTTGTGTGTAAGGGCATAAGAAAAATGATTTAAGATGACTGTGAAAATTTACTTCTGAAGGACTGTTTCAGTCATTTTCAATACTTACTGTAAACAGTTATAGGTTCACAAGTGGAGAAGATTTTAAAGAACTAGGTATTTTTCCTTTTATGTATTCTTTAACTGTATCGAAATTGAAAGGGCCAGAAAGTATTCTAACAACAATAGGACACTAGAAATTTGAAAAATAAGAAGCAAATATAAGGATCATGATAACAGAGACTTTTCTCACCTTTCTCTTCTCAGTGCCTAGAACAGTACATTGATTATACATGGTAGTTTCTCAATATATAATTGTCGAATGACAATAATTGAATGAATGCAGAGTTATAAACAGAAAGTTAATTGAGAAAATTCTTATTTACAAATAGAATTCATGATATTTGAGATGAGAAAGTCACTTTCTTGAAGAAAGAAAAAATAGTACATTGAATACATCCTAAGTAACCAAAAGCATCTACGGAAAAGGCAAAAACAATTTATTCATTCCACAAATTCTCTTTAAATACCCAATATCCTATTTGAAAACCACACTTGAATATAAAATGCTATGGTTACTATTTCAGCTTGTAGAGTTAAGCATAGTTGGGGTTTAAAAATATGCAGAAACTGAGCTAAGTGTTATACCATGAAGACGTTTCTCCAGAGAGAGCGCTGTCTCCATCTAGCTTTCTAGCTGATGTCAACCCTTGCACAAAGAATATTTTAGAGACACTTGAAAGCCAATTTTTAGAAGACTTTCTATAATGTCTAGTAGAAAATGTAGAAAGAAGAAAGTGAGGCTCCTGCTTTAAATTTTAGTGGGAAGGAGCTCTTTTTCCCCCCTCAGTTTTCTCAATAATAACGTAAACATGGCACCTCATTTCTTCTATATCTATTTAAAGAATAAATGGATAATATTAGTAAAGAAAATATGTATTACAAGATTAAAGCATATGGCAATAGCCATATATTTGTAGATATGTGTGGAAGTAATTTTCTTAATTTATGTTCATTATAGAAGCATCCCTAACTTATAAAATGGAGATAATTTTAGAGCAGGCTTTTCTTTCATTTAATCGGAAATAGTGCCAAATCTGAAAGTGAAATCCAATGTGTTGATTTGTATCTTTTATGAAACCATACTCAAAGTCCTTTCCCAAGGAGCAGATGCACCTTTTCTTCCTTTACTGTTCAATACTGGCAATTTGCTTTGATCATAATTGGTCTGGGGAACAAACTGTCTTGCATGATATATCATTCATTTGAAAAGTAGAACCTATGCCAACTTAATAGAATTAGTTAAGATTAAATGTTCACTAGATTTTCTGTTTTGTTTTGTTTTTTCCCCTAGAGGTATGAGATAATTAACAAGGAATATATTTTTTAAGGATTAGGTTAAATGATTAACAATGGTAGGTAATTATTTTATTGTTCATTGGGGAAAGAATGTGAGATTAGGTTTGTTTGGGAAATACATATGTGTGTATTCACGTGCATATGTATAAGTATCCACAGTAAGCACATGTATAACACACAAATGTAGATTATAAATTGAAAGTAAAACAAAAAAAAGCTAAGCTTGCTTACCATAGCGTATGTCTGTTCTGCCCTTCTTTCCACTTCCTCTCCAAGGGCTACGCTTGTGTATTTCCTGGATTTTAAAATTGACACGTGTGTACTCTCTTGATGCCTCAGAGATCATGCATCTTTATCAATAACATTCCTAGAAGTGTAGCAACCCAACTTGACAGAGGTATAGAGAACGGCTCAGTAAGCATACTTTCAAGTAACAGACTTCTGCCTTACTTACTTGTCCAAATCTTGAGTTCTGATATTAACATAGTTTCTGTCCTATTGCTAAAGGATATCAACCTGTCTTTTTCTTGGGAATATTTTAATGGATAATGGAAACTTGAATGATTAGTAAGAAAAGAAAGTCTTTATAAAGTGCCTTTCTCTTAATCTATGAAGATCTTTTGTTTAAAGGTATAACAGAGTTTATATTAGGTTAGAATTTTATACCAGATTCTAAACAATTTTAATTGTCATAGATGCAGGTTCAATTATGCTCACTTTTGTTCTTGCTTGCTCTCTGTTTTTCTTTCTCTCTCCCTCCCCTCCTCTTTATATCTTTTTATGGAAGTCCATTCCTGCCTCCTCTTTATTTCTTTTTATGGAAGTCCATTCCTGCTAGAGATTCATTGACTAGAGATGGTTCTCCCTATATAGCAGGATCATATTTGCTTGGAGACTCAAGATTCAGACATGTAGAAGTACACATAGCTTATTTATATTCAATTTGTATAAGCTACTACAATGCATTTTTTCATAATTTTTAGGGTTTTTTGAAATCTATTTCTTTTAAATATATTAATAATGTCAACTGTCTGGGGTGCACTTTACCTAAAAAGTTCTCATGTGAAGAGAATACTATTTACGTACCAGTTTTGGAAATTAATAAAAAATCATTTTATTAGTGATTAGAAAATTTCTAATTTCTAATCCTTATTTTAATGTTACATTATTTTTTCTTTCTCTTTTCTCCTTTGTAAAATAACAGCTAGTGTAGAAATGTTTTAAGATTGCTAAGAAAAGTATTAGAAGATTTAGGTTAGAGCTTTAATAAGCCAAATGCCATTTGTTTCTACAATTTGTAACATTTTATTATTAACAACTCTAGAAGGAGGAGTCGGTCTATTTCAGTGGTGAGGACAGATTTCTGTCCATCTGTGCCTCCATTGCTACATGTCACTTGTACTTTGGATCTGCATTGCTCTCAGCCAATGTACATGCCATAGCAAGGTCAAGAGGTGGAGAAGCCTGTCAGCACATTCTGTCTCTAACGCTATGACAACTGCAAACTGGTGCTTGGAGCATCTCCCTGAGGCAGTCATTCTGTTGGGCCTTGGAGCTGGGCCTTCCATAATATCATTTCAAAGGAAAATGTTTACTTTAAACATTTTAAAATATCAGACAAAGAACTTAATCTATCATGTGGCTTTTGTTAATGTCAGGTTCCTTATTAGGATGGCTTATTTCTCAACATTTTAAAAATGTGGCAAATTCTATGGTGATTTTTCTTACTTTATTATGTTCCTTAGTAACCCTGTTGAAGCTGGGGGAGAGCAGAGTGCACGTGAATTTCTATTTTAGTGCAAAATAGCTGAAGATATGAATGCAGTAGGTTAAGACTAACTTTGTTGTTGTTGTTAGTTGCCATGGAGTCAGCCCCTGACTCATGGTGACCCCACGCATAAAGGAACGAAATGCTGCCTGGTCCTGGCCATCCCCATGATCTGTTGTAGATTGAATTGTTGTGATCCACAGGGTTTTCTTTGATTGATTTTTCTAAAGTAGATCTCCAGGACTTTCTTCCTAGTTCATCTTAGTCTGCAAGCTCCACTGAAACCTATTCAGCATCATAGCCACATACAAGCCTCCCCGGACATACAGGTGGTGGCTGCGTGTGAGGTGCATGGGCCAGGAATACTCTTAACTATCGCATGTTAATATTAAATGCTCTGCTCCTTTATTGAAAAATCTTAACGTCTCACATCTCTAAATGTCTATTTTTCTGTTTGCAAACAGTGCCTATCAGATTGTTGTGGAGGAGCTGCACCCACACCGCACCAAGAGAGAAGCCGGAGCGATGGAATGCTACCAGGTCCCTGTCACATACCAAAACGCCATGAGTGGGGGTGCGCCGTACTACTTTGCTGCAGAACTACCCCCGGGGAATCTACCCGAACCTGCTCCATTCACGGTGGGGGACAATAGGACCTACCAGGGCTTTTGGAACCCACCTTTGGCTCCTCGCAAAGGATACAACATCTATTTCCAGGCAATGAGCAGTGTGGAGAAGGTGAGTTTCCACCAAGGTTTGTTTTTTCTTACCCTGAGGGAAAGCAGGAATCAATTTTATGTATACTCAGTTGCATTTGTCCAAAAAAAAAAAAAAAAAAAAATGTTGTGTGTAGGGGAATTGTTTCTGTTCCCAACAGTGCCCAAAGTTTGCTGCAGCCACAAGCCAGTTACGTTTCACAGGGTTCCTGTTTTCTAGTAACTGTTTCCAAGTGAGTTTTCTTCAGGAAAGCCCACAGTAGCAATTGTGAGTAAAATGATTTGAGAAGGTGGGTGTGCTGCTGCCAGTGCTCCACCCCAGTATCAGGCATTGTTCAGGCTTCTTTGCTCAGTAGTGGAACGCTTCAAAAGATTAAATTTACTGCAGGGTAAACAAAATGCATGTTCCACAGCAGTCTAATAAACCCTTATAAACTTTTCAGGAAGTACAAGCCAAATAGTAAATAACAAGTAACAGTCCTCTGATTACAAGGTAATAGGGCTCTCTGGCACATCAGACAGAATCTGAACAGAAGGCTGCCTGGAGGTGGCTGGATGCTGTGCCATTAGAGAAGTCGGCTTTCCATTTCCCTGGTTGCCCCTCCTTTTCCCATTTTGGACACAGCTATTTTTGAACACTACCGCCAATCCCAAATGAATATTGAAGAGGAAAATCCAACAGGAAGTTAGAAACTAACCAGTGGTTCCATATGTGGGGAAACAACCTGGCCTTTCATGCCTCATGCTGTTCCCTTTGAGAAATTTTCTTTCCTTAAACTTATTTATTTGCTTATTTTTATCTTTGCAGAGTGATAGGGGAAAAAAGGTTGAGAATAGAAACTTCTACAATTTAAAATCCAACTGAAAAATGACGTTTTTTAACACTTGTAACTATATAGGAAAGGAGCCCTGGTGGCACAATGATTAAGTGCTCAGCTGCTAACCAAAAGGCCGGCGTTCGAACTCACCAGCTGCTCCATAGGAGAAAGATGTGGCAGTCTGCTTCTGTAAAGTTACAGCCTTGGAAACCCTATGGGTCAGTTCTACTCTGTCTTATAAGGTCACGATGAGTTCGAATCCACTCAACAGCACACGACAGTTACAACTATATAGGAAATTGCTGGGTTTGGATAATTGAGTTCCTGAGGTGGGAACCTGACAGATAATGTGAAATAATGTGGTATACTTACATGGGTCATATTACATCTTGGAATAATTTAATTAGAAGATATTCATGACAATCCATTTGCATTTCTATAGGGCCGTGAGAACAAAGGGCATTGATTGACTTTTTGGCTACTTTTGAAAGAAATCTTTTATCTTTCTGCTTACCTATATGGTTAGCTCATAGTATCTATCAAAGAAAAGTGGCACAGCATCTTCTAAGATATACTCTAAGGCCAGACAGTGCTCATGGTTGAAGATGCTCTTCTCTTCTAGCTTATTTCTATATGACTGGGAGTCCATAGAGGTGAGTCAGGTGCCCACTTCTCACCTATACATCATTCTGTACCGCTGGTACAACTGGGCTGCTCAAAAACAAGAACACTACAGAATTATTATTTTGTTCCAGCAGCATGAGGTAGAAAATATAGTTCTGTGTTTGGGTTTTTATCTTTAGAGAGGTGAGAGATTCCAAATTTACTTTTGTTACTTGGTCTTTGGTATGAGGGGAGTGTTAATGAATGTCTGTTACTTACAAAGAATTTTCTCTTGCACCATTTAAACACTTGGATATAAATTTTCCCTTCTAATTGCTAATATATCTACACTGTGGTGTGATCAAGTACAGAATGGCAACAATATATTTCACAGTTATCTTGGCAAAGAGTTTTAAAATTAATGTGGCTTTTATCGGCAGAGCCTGGTAATGCTGATATGGTTAACAGCGGTCGCTTTTAGGAAATCACAATCTCTTTGGGAATTTACTGGAATGTAAAATAGTCTCTTTCAGTTTACTGTGAAGGCCTCAGGTCACAATTAAGTAATAGAAGTGCAGAATTTTGTTTTTTAATGACTATTCTCCTCTTCAATGCTTTGTTATATCTAATTTTAAAATAATAAATGCTATAGAGAAATTTATAAACTGTTTTGGCTTGTCAACACATAGAACTACTCAAGATGGAATTATAAATGCATATTGGCAACTAGTAGCCTCTGTTTCGTGAACTGGCTTTGGCATCTTTTCCAACCTCTTGTGTATTCAAAGGTAAACATTAAAATGAACCAAGTCCTGGAAGAGTGAAGTGTGGACCTAGAAGTGCCCAGCCTCACCATGTGTTCTGCCCTCTACTATCACCTCAGAACATTAAAATAAATAAATAAATAAATAAGAAAAGAATAGGAATAAAATTTGAAATAATTCCTTTCCTTTCCTACATCTGCTTCTGCTGCCTCTACCCCATCTGCCTGGCAAGAGAAGGAAAATTATTTACAATGAGAAACATTTTCCCCCAAAGTTAAATAAGTAAAAAATAATAATAATAGATAAATTTAAGTGCAAGTGTGCTACAACTTGTTGATTATCTTTCTAATAAGTACATGTACATTTAGCTCTTTAGTCATGCTAGGATCTGATTGAAAGCATGCAAAATTCACGTTTGGCCAACACAGCTTGTACAAGGAAAGGTCATGGAAGCTCCATAGACACATCCAAACTCCCTGAGGGAGTGAATTGCTGGGTGGAGGGCTGTGGGGACCATGGTCT